AGGATTTTATTTTTCCTTCACTTATGAAGCTTAGTTTGGCTGGATAGGAGATTCTGGGTTGAAAGTTCTTTTCTTTAAGGATGTTGAATATTGGCCCCCATTCTCTTCTGGCTTGTAGGGTAGTGAATTACTTTAAGTCAGTTGTCCCCAACCTTTTTTGGCATGGGAGATCGGTTTTGTGGAAGACAATTTTTTCATGGACTAGGAAAAAATGCAGATGGTTTCAGAATTATTCAAGCACATTATGTTTGTTGTGCTACTTTATATTTTTATTACATTGTAATCTGTAATGAAATAATGATACATTATGTATCATTACCATAATGTAGAATCATGAAGCTCTGAGCTTGTTTTCCTGCAACTAGATGTTCCCATCTGGGGGCAAAGGGAGACAGTGACAGATCATTAGGCATTAGATTCTCGTAAGAAGCACATAACGTAGATTCCCTCATATGGTCAGTTCACAACAGGGTTCATGCTCCAATGAGTAATGCTGGCACTGATCTGGCAGGAGGTGGAGCTCAGGTGGTAAGATGAGCCCTGGGGCATGGCTGTAAACACAGATGAAGCCTCCCTGGCTTACCTGCTGCTCACCTACTCCTGTGTGGCGTGGTTCCAAAATGGCCATGGATTTGTACCCAGTGTGTGGCCTGGGAGTTGTGGATGCCTGCTCTGGGTGGTCCTACCATAGACAAAAAAGTAAAAGGAAGGAAGTTTTGATCACAAAAGAACAATGGAGCCCAGGTCATGTTACATATGCTTGTTACCAACAAGGTCTGACTATTACTGACCTCATTCTTCCTGATTTGAAATTGAAAGAGATATATTTACTTTGTTGGGACAAGATGTGTTCTTCTACATGATGGTTGTCATGATAACAGTAATTTTGTTAAAACAAGGTGCTCTGCCACCATTTATCAAAAGATTTTCATGGTAAATACACAAATTGCTCAACTCTAGGCTCAGCAGATGATAATAAAAGTACAAAAATGCTTCACAATAACAAAAATGCTAGTATGCTATCTGGATGTGGACACCTAATACATTGTATAATTCAAACTGTATGAGGACACCTTTAATTTAGCCATATGTTTATCAAAGAGCTTCTGTAAGTTAGGTTTTATAGGTTGTAGGAGACCAAGATGGAGCAGAGGTAGTTTTGATCTTTAGGGAGTTCATAATAGAATAGAGCCGTCTCTACTTTATTTTTGTGCTTTTTCAACATAATTTACAAAGCAAACATTTTTATTTATGTTTTTACTTGTCCACTTGACAAATAACTATAAAATGTTTTTTAGATACTAAGCATTTTTGTAAACCTGCAGAACGCAAACAATTAAAAATACAGACAGGAGCTTGTTATTATCATTGTCATTTTTATTATTTTGCTACTCTATTCAGTGCTTACTGTGTGTTAGAAGCCCACTGGAAGCTTATAATTATGATTTATTATACATTATATTTATTATGTGCCAGACATATGTGATGAGAAATGAAAGCTTTAAAAAATAGTAGGTAGGATTTAAGGTAAGGATACAGAGTGAGTAGAATTTTTCTAGGTTAAAGAAGCAGAAGAATGATGTTTGGCAGAAGGAACATGTAACAAGATTGTGGGTTTGGCAGAAGAAACATCTAATGAGACTGCCCATTTGGGAGGAAGAGCAGCAAATGCAAAAGACAAGATGCTTGAGTGAACTTTGCAGGGTTTTTGAGTAGTTCACTTTGCTAGTTCGAAAAGTGTGAGATATGAGAGGTTGGGAATGAGGTGAATACTTAGCTAAGGCAAGTTTATGATCGACTTTTTAATACTAAAGAAATAAGTAGCTCTTACCCTGTGGGCCATGGGAAATTTACCAGGTAGAATGCTTTGGGCTGCAAAGACTAATGAGCAGTGGCTAAAACAGTAGGAACCAGAGTTGTTCTTGTTGTTCAGTGATATTTTAGGATCCCTTTTGTCCCTCTTTCATTTGTGCTGTTGGCAGTGTCTTGTTCGTATCTCCTTTCATGGTTGGCTAATTTGCAGCAACTCCAAACATTTTGTTCTCACAACACAACATCACCAGGGCTGCTTTTCTTTTGGTGTTTTAGTCATGAAGTCCTTGCCTATGCCTATGTCCTGAATGATATTTGTATAGGCTAGTATTTAACATAAACTTGAGAGTGAGTACCAAGATTATATTTAGAAATTAGGAACTGGATGGGAAAACTAGATAGGAATTTAAAGATTGTGAACTCAAACACAGTGTGGTTTCTTTGCTTTATTTTCACTGCTCTGAATTCACAACTATTAGTTTTTTTTTTATATGTATATATATAAAACATATATATATATATACACACACACATATATATACATATACACTATAGCTTTAAAAAGCACCTTTCCAAACCAAATATTAAGTGATTTCTTATAATTTCTCTGACTTTATTATAGAATTGACTTTCCAAGTGTTTATAAGAATTATTGAGAATTTTCTGCATAGTGTCATCTCAGCCATGTCCACATGAGCTATCCATTACTTTGTGTTAATGAATAATGGTTCACTAGGAATATTGGTTTTTTGCATTTAAAGTGATCAATATCTAATGCAGATAGGACCAGGGGCCACTCTTAAACATTAAAGTCCAAGCATCTTAAAATTACAATAAGGCTTTCATAATCTGACTTCTGCCCTACTCTCCATATTTAGCTGTTTTCCCTGTGTGCCCTTTCTCTGGCATTACTGAATGGCTGGTAATACCCTACTCACTCATCTTTCTATTCTAGGCAAATACATTGACTCTTTCAGGCCTTACTCCCTATCTTGCTGCCTCCTGGCATGCTGTCATCCTTTCCTGCCCTCTACCTCTTTTACTCTGGCGAGCCTCAATATTTAATTCTCCACTTGTGCATGATTTCTATAAAAGCCATCCCTGACATGCTTTATTTTCATTCTTTTTCAACCCTAACACCTAGTATGTATGTATAGCAGGACTCAATAAAAAATTGCTGAGTAAAATAAAGACTGTTTATACAAAGATGACATGCAAGACTGTCCCCTTCAGTCTTGGAGGAGAGGGGACAGACATGGAACAATAATGTACAGTTCAGGTGGTAAAGATGCAGTAGAAAAATCAGTAAAGTACTAAGGCAGCCTCAAGGAAGGAGGTACCTGTTTATCAGGGGAAAGACATGCAGAATCGAGGAAGACTTCACATAGCATTGTTTTAAAAGATGAAAAAAACTTGTCAGAATAGTGGAGGGAAACATTTTAGGTATTAGGAAGACATTCCACACTAATAAATGTGTCAGTGATTTTGGAAAGCAATTATAAGGTACTATTAGGAAGTGGAGAACAATATACTCTGTTACCTTTTGTGTTCTGTATTTTAAAGTTGTGTTTCTCTTGGTTTTGTTCATTTATGTTGGGTGGATGAATTTGTGAGTGAATGTTTGACATATTTGAATGTCTTGAATCTAGTGACATCCGATATCTCTCCAAGTGGTTTGTTGAAGTTTTGGAGAATTATTTCTTAAGTAACTACTTCATGAAAGATTAAATTTCATTTAAATGCTCAATTTATGAAACAAAATGAAATGTCTTAAATCTGTTTTTATAAAGGCAGTAATTTTTAATTGTTCTAAGCAGTTCATTTTAACTGAATATATGGATTTCTCTTCAGAACAAGACTTAAAGATGACATCAGAGGAAGAGCCTCAAAGGCTTAAAGGAAGTGAAAATAGCCAGCCAGAGGCATGTCAAATTTTCAATTTAAATTTTGGGTTTAATATTGTTTTCTTTGCTTTAATAATATTAGATAGTCCAAATGAAATTACCTTTCAGACTAGGCTTTGAGAATCAATAGATTGTTTTTTTTAAAGAATATTTTAGTATATTGTTAAAATTTATTTTAATAAATTCAGCAACCTTATTAACAGAAGAATCAACATATTCTAATATTTAATATTTAACTTAAACATTATAACCCACTATTAAATTTAGAATATTCTTATTTAAAATGTTCTTGGGCTGGGTGCGGTGGCTCATGTCTGTAATCCCAGCACTTTGGGAGGCTGAGGTGGGCGGATCACGAGGTCAGGAGTTTGAGACCAGCCTGACCAACATGGTGAAACCCCGTCTTTACTAAAACTACAAAAATGAGCCAGGCGTGGTGGTGGGCGCCTGTAATCCCAGCTACTCGGGAGGCTGAGGCAGGAGAATGACTTGAGCCTGGGAGGTGGAGGTTGCGGTGAGCCAAGATTGCACGGTTGCACTCCAGCCCAGGCAACAAGAGTGAAACTTCATCTCAAAAAATAAATAAATAAATAAATAAATAAATAAATTCATATTTGCCTTCTTGATTAGTTTATAGCTAATCTTTCTCTTTGGAATAGAGACAAAAAAAGTCCAGAACTTTGTTATTTTATTTTTACAACACTCTAACATGATAAAGAAAGTAACATCAATCATTGGATAATATTATTAAGCAATTGAAATTATGAACAGTGTAACGGTGATGGTCCCTGAGCTGGATTCATGGTAAAGGAGTAATCATGGCCAGTGATTGAAAATCTGCAGTTTTATATTGCCAGTCACTGATGCCAAGGTAAAAGATGCATTCTGCCTCTCATTGACCTCAGGGTTTCTGTTCAAAGAGAGAACCAGGTCATAAAAGCAACCCAACTGCCTGTTAACATGGATTATATCTTGCAGAATGGGACCTTTTGTGTTAATGTACAAACAGAATAATATTCTAACTTAAGTTTCAGAAAATCAGTACATATTAATTAAACATTTTTATCCACTCTCATTAGTACCTGTCAGAATATATTAGAACTGGATTTAAGCAGGCAGTCTAGATACATAACACTATCATATTACAGTGTATAATTTTAATTCAAATTTAAATATTTGCATTTCTTTCTGTTTGCTGTTAATTTCAGCTCCTAATAATTTAAAGCCTGCCTACCCTCCAGTTTATAATCTTTTAAAAAAGCACTTAAATGCACAGTAGGGGCTCACTAGTTAGGGTATGGTGAAGTAAAATCTTTTCAAGTGAGGAAGCCTTTGCAACACTATAAATCATTTGCTAATTCATTTTTGGTAGATTTAACATGTAAATAATTAAGTTTAATCAAACAAATGGTGGCAAAGTTAAGTTTGCTGGTTCATGTTTTTCTTCTCCCTTTGGCTAAGGTGTGTTATTTTTCATGAGTTAGTCAGAAGCCAGTGATGTGGCAGTAGCTAAATGTACATTAAAAAGTTAATTCTTAATTTTAATTATTTAATTTTTATTTAATTATTCTAATAGGTAAATTTTAATTATTTTCTAATTTTTCATTGTCCATACTTGATTACTTAAGAATAAAATTATTTATTTTAAAAACATGCACTCCCAAAGAGCACACATCTGAGAAATACAACAAGCAAATTAATCTTCTATTTTTGCATCTGCAGAAAATGTCTCAAGAACCAGACATAAATAAGGATTGTGATAGAGAGGTATAACTTTATATTTAAATGTTTCTGTTGAATTAGATTTTTACGTTATGTTGTTGAACAAAGTGTAGTAAGTTTAGGCATATATGATTCTATCATGTAGCAGCATAAATCATCAGTGAAAAATTTAGTATTTAACTCAAAAAGCTGAGTTCTGTACACTGAGTTTTAAAGAGAGACAAACCCTAGAGATCTTCTTCGTCATTATGGAATAATCCTGAATGGTGCTGTAAAATGCTAGGTAATGCCACTTGAGGAGCTTCGGCTCAATCATTTTATCTTTCTTGGTTTTAGTCTGATTATCAATAGATAATGTGGCTAAAAAAGATAATTTCTTATTCCGTATATCCTCCAGCTAGAAAATTTTATGGCTATTGAATGGGAAATTTGGGGAGCATTTCATTTTCTGGAATTCCTCGATAACACCTCAGCAGTTTCACTCTGATCCTTGTGTTGTGGCAAACTTTGGTTCCCATGTTTCAGTGAGGACCTTCATGTTTTTGATATCCCAGGAATCAAATGAAAAAAAAATGATCAAAGGCAGTCGGGGAGAAGTATATCTTAGTGCAGAAAAGGGAAATCTTTTCTATTCCTGACCCTGAGGTCAATTTCTCATCCTCTAAATCTGACTGTTTAATGGAAAATCCAGATGGTAAAGACAGAAGAAGACACATTTTGTATCTTTGTCTTTTTATTTGTGTGTTTCCACAAGTCAAATGGGGTAAATGTTTATATTAGATTCTGAAGAGTGGTTGGGAATAAAAGCACAAAATGAAGGAGGACCCTTTTTGAAATTTTAGAAAATTGTTTTATTCATTCAAATAGAAATAAAGCAAACTTTACAAAAATTTCAATGATATACTAATGATATAATAATTACATCTTAAAATTATATGGTAACAGTTCCGTATATATGATCAAATTTAAGTGTGAAATATTTTTAATGACTAAAATAATGACAAACTGAGGTCAAGTGATAAAATAATTAAAATAAAAAGGTTCTTTTTATTCAGTAAAACAACAACCATTTTTAATATCAAGCTTCCACTCAAGGCTGAAGAAGAAATGCAGAAGCATGGAAGTAATAATGTGGGATTATCCGAAAACCTGACTAATGGTGTTGCTCCTGGCAATGGTGGTTATGGCTTAATTCAACGAAGAAGGAGCAGCAAACCTGAAAATCAGCAATTTTCTAGCACAGAGAATGAAGAGTATCACAAGTAAGCCTATGGCAACATTTAACAAGAGATAACTATGTGCTATCAAACAAATCCTAATTTGGGATAATATTCATGATGAACAAATTTTATACTTTTACTAGGATATTAAGATTTGTCTGGTTATCAGAAGAATGAAAGTCAGCAAACAATGAGTTATCGTTTTTTCCACTCATTAATTTATTTGAAAAATAACCAGTATTGACAATTTCTTTTCCTTTTAGTGAACTTTTATTTTAGCTTCATGGGTACATGTGCACGTTTGTTATATAGGTAATATGTATTATGGAGATTTGGGCTACAGATTATTTCATCAGCCACATAATAAGCAAAATACTTAACAGGTAGTTTTTTGGTTCTCTCCCTCCTGCCACCCTCCACTCTCAAGTAGGCCCCAGTGTCTGTTGTTCTCTTTGTGTCCATGAGTTCTCATTGTTTAGCTCCCACTAGTGAGTAAGAATGTGTGGCATTTGATTTTGTGTTCCTGCCTTAGTTTGCTTAGGATAATGGACTCCAGCTCCATCTGTGTTGCTGCAAAGGAAATGGTCTCATTGAAAAAGAGGTGTCTCATTGAAAAGACATTTTCTTACACTGTTGGTAAATACATTTTGAGTGTTGATTTAGTAGCATATTTACACAAACACATATAGTAAGGATATATATGTATGTTAAGGATATTTGTACAGGTATGTTACATATGTATAAGGACATTTATTGTAGTATTACTATATCAAAAAGTTGGGGCTAGTTTAAATCCTTAACAATAGGAAATACCTCAGTTTTCATACTGAGAAAAGAATATGGTCTGCAACCATTTTTTAAAACTGTGGTTAGATCTAGAGTGTACGGGTGATTTCACAATTAACATGTATTTAAAGCATTTAGTTTGATGACACATCTTAAGACAATTTTGTTAGAATTCTTGTAATATCTGCTGTGTTGCAAGTGGAAGCTACATGCTACATTGACATGGTACCTTGTTAGCCACAAGATTGCTAGTTATTAAATTTTTGCTGTCAGTGCCTGAGTGCTGAAATAGTGGACCCTCACTTTGAATATTGCCAAGGGATTGCACATGGGGATCTATACTTCATATAAACATTTCAATATATTGGATAAAACTTGTGAAAATATGTAAAAGGATCTTTGATCTACTAAACCAGGAGTTGGCCAGCTCTTTCTGCAAATAGCCAGTTAGTAAACATTTTAGGCTTTGTGAACTGTATGTGTTTATTTTCTTGAGACAGGGTCTCACTCTTACCCAGGCTGGAATGCAGTTGCATGATTGTGCCTCACTGCAGCCTTGACGTCCCCAGCTCTAGCGATCCTCCCACCTCAGCCTCTCTACTAGCTGGGACCACAGGTGTGCAACATCACACCCAGCTAATTGACTCTATGGATTATAAAGTGAATAAGCATGACTGTGTTTCAAGATACTTTACTTGCAAAAACAGGCAGTGGGCTGGATTTGGCTCACAAGTGCTAATTTGCTGACCCCTGTGCTAAAAGGAAGGTGCTGTTAATTCAGTGAATCTTATTTGTAAAAGTGCTCTGCATGTGTGACATTATTCTTCTTTTGAAAAAAGAATATATTTCAGTATTCTACTCACCATATATATTTTTTAACTTTTATTGATTTTTTTAAATTGTACTTAAAGTTCTGGGGTACATGTGCAAATCATGCAGGATTGTTGCATATTTTTCAACAGTGACTTCATATAATTTTTTCATTTATATAATTCATATAATTATAATTCATATAATTTTTAAAATTTCACTTATAAAATAAGATTATTTTCTGCATGTTTTCTATTTTATTCCTGTTAACAGAACTCAGTATTTTACTGTGATCAGTTACTTTCTATATTTGATGAGTATCAACTGTCTTAGAATTGGCTGATTTTTATCAAGCAAGAAATAATCCCCTTGTAACTTTTAGTATTCCTTAGTCTCTATAAGCCTGAACAAAATGATAATCAACTATGTAATCTAGAAATGTTCAAGGGATCGTTTAGTTCTATAATTTTAAGAATTTAATACCTTGATCTGGCATTTTAAAATGCCATACTGTATAATTTTTAAAACCTTTAAAATATATAATTGTTATATAAAATTTGAAAACTGCACCATTTATGTAAAATTTGAAAACTGCTGTTTCTTATCTATCACTATTCCATGGCTGTGGAAGAAAATTACATCATTCATAGTCATGACTCCTAAGTATGATATTCTTAAAAGAACTATCTAAACTCACAAACTCAAGTTTTCTTTCCATTCACTCTTGGTTTCTCGCCAGAAGTCTTCAGTTTCAGCACTGCTCCAAAATTGTTTTTCTCAGGGTTATCACTGTTTTTTTTTCTGTAATAAATCTAGGAATTTTTTTCTCACACCTCATTTAATCTGTCAGCAATATTTGACCCATTGGAGGACATCTCCTCCGTAACAGCAGCTTCACTTGGCCTTCAGGACCTCACTCCCTCAGGCGTTTCCTTCTGCCTTTCTGGTCCATTCATCATGGTCTGTTTTGCTTGCTCCTCCTCATCTTTCACCTTTTGCATGTTGTTGTTTCCCAGGGCTCAGTCCTCAATCTTCTTTCTCATGACTTTTTCGTTTTTCTTTTCTTTTTTTCCTTTGAGACGGAGTCTCATTCTGTCATCCAGGCTGGAGTCCAGTGGTGTGATCTCAGCTCACTGCAACCTTTGCTTCCTGGATTCAAGCAGTTCTCCTGCTTCAGCCTCCTGAGTAGCTGGAATTATTGATGTGTGCCACCATACCTGGCTAATTTTTGTATTTTTAGTAGAGACAGGGTTTCCACATGTTGGCCAGCCTGGTCTCAATCTTCTGATTTCTGGTAATCTACCTGCCTCGGCCTCCCAGTGTTGGGATTACAGGTGTGGGCCACCACCCACAGCCCCCCGTGACTTTTCCTGCTGTGTATGTGCTAGTGATTTCCAAATGTATGTCTTCAGCTCAGATCTCTCTCCTTCATTCCAGAGCTCTATGTCAGTCTGCTTACTTGACATCTCTCTTTAGTTAGTTATTGGGTATCACACACTTGTCAGATCCAAAATTGGGTTACTGATGTCCTTCCTCAAATCTACACCTCATGTAGTCTTTCCTTCTTTGGTTAATGGCAACTCTTCCAGTTGCTCTGCCAAAAACCTCGGTGTCATTTTTGACTCATCTTTCTCTGTCTCTGACACCTGACACCTAATCTTTCAGTAAATCTTGTCAGGTCTCCCTGAAGATTATATCCAGAAGCCAGTTATATCTTGTACATCTGAGCCACCATTGTCTAGTCTAGATTAGTACTATAGACTGGTAATTGATTGTCCTGGTTTAAAAAAAATTCCTTTAAATCCTTAACTCAGTGGATGTATTTAATACATAAGTCAAATTGTGTCATTCCTCTGCCCCAACCCTTCTGATTATCTCCCATTTCACTCGGAGTATGTGTCAAAACTCCTCCTAATAACTAAAAGGTGGTACAGCATCTGGCGCATTATCTCTCTTGCTTAAACTTCTGTTTCTTACTTGCTTTGCTCTGCTTCAGCCACACTGAACTTCTTGCTATTTCTTATCCATCCCTATTGCTTAAAGACTCCAGGCACGCCTCTGTATTTGGCTGTTACCTGTGTCTGGAAGGCTTTTTCTTCAGCTATCCTCCTAGCTTACTCTTCCCATTCTTTCAGTCCTTTACTTAAAATCCCCTTTCTCAGCAGGGACTTTTCTGGCCATCCCAACTTTCCCACCACTCTTCCCCTCAAACATATAAACATTTTATTTTTCTGCTTTAGTTTTTCTCCTCTAACGTACTGCATATTTTGCCTTATCTGTCTATTGTTATTGTGTGTTTATCTCATTCTCATGAATAGGATCTTTATTGTTCACTACCATATCTTCACTGCCTAGAAAAAGGTCTAGTGGCCAGATGTGGTGGCTAACGCCTGTAATCCCAGCACTTTAGGAGGACGAGTCAGGTGGATCATGAGGTCAGGAGGTCGAGACCATCCTGGCTAACACGGTGAAACCCTCTCTACTAAAAATACAAAAAATTAGCTGGGCATGGTGGCAAGCACTTGTAGTCTCAGCTACTCAGGAGGCTGAGGCAGGAGAATCACTTGAACCCGGGTGGCGGAGGTTGCAGTGAGCCGAGATCATACCACTGCACTCCAGCCTGGGCAGCAGAGTGAGACTCTGTCTCAGGAAAAGAGAAAAAGGCCTAGCATATCAGATGTAGCTACCTAATAAATACTTATTAAATGAGTGAACGGAGTTTATCCTGGGTATATTGATTGACTGATTGATTATTACTTAAAAAATGTTTGACATAGTTCATTGCAACAATTTTGCCTGGTAATTATGTGCATTTTTAAATTCTTTTAGCTCTTTCTTCATAAGCTACGTTCTTCATATTAATTTTTTTTATTTAGGGAGAAAAGCCCAATTTTGTGGTTATTCACTATACTTTTAGATTATGATCATTGTAATTATGGTAAAATGATTCAGAAGAATTGCAAACCTGACTGATATTTTATCAAAAAAATATTACTGTGGTAAATTTAATGGACTTACAAATTCTTTCCAAGGGATTATGAACCTTCAGTATTTGAAATAAAAAGAACAGAGTTGGAATTTTTTGCTTCCTATAGGAAGACATATACTGGTCAGGCACTGTCTATTCTGATGGAGCAGCAACTGCTACTTAACTGTCTTTCAGAAGGAAGCTGCTTACATTGATATCGGTTGGTGAGCAAGGCCAGTGGTCATTGATCAGTTGACTAGATTTAGAACTGTCCCTGGGTGTCTTCTTGTTATCATGGCTACAGGTCAGTTCTTTCCAAAGTTTGAGTCAACTGTAACCGGAAATTTTCTATTTGAAAGTTGCTTTCCATTAACTATGTTCAAAATGAAACTATTTTATATCCCAGAATTGTAGACTTTTTTTTTTTTTTATCAGGATGAATTGGTTGATAATTGGTCTCAGGAAGATCTCTCTCTCT